CCAGGTCAAATAAAATTTAATACCATGTCAAAAGTTGGATTGGTTAGGTCTCCAGTGGGATACAAATTAGCAGTCAGTCAGTTTACCAGGAACAAAAGTAACAGATTTGATAAACCAAGTAGAAGCCTTTTGTGTAAAGCACAAGGTTTCTTGGCACGATTGGGAAAAACTTCTGGGTCTGTTGAATTTTGCCACAATAGTGGTTCCATTGGGAAAGTTAAGGAAAAAGCAACTATCTCATCTGGGCTCGAAGTTGCTTCACAGAAACAGAAATGTTGCTTCTTCTCTCCCTATTCAGATAAAGAATCGTCTGTTATGATGGACAAAGTTGGACAATCTAATTGGTCCCTCTCCCTGGGTTCCACCTCAAACTGGTTTGGTCGTTTGTACGGATGCGTGCAAAATAGGATGTGGATACCATTCTTAAAAAGGGGAATTCAATCAAGGAAAGTGGAGCAACTTCCTTTGGGACAAACACATAAATATAAAAGAATTAGCAGTGGTCCTATTCTTTTTGTCGGCAAACCCAAATTTACAAAATATGACGATCCGGTTTGCCATGGACAACAAAACAGCAGTCTTTTGTTTCAGTCATCAAGGATCTACAAGGTCTTAGCCCCTTCTACAACTGTCAGAAAAAATTTTCAGTATTTGTGTAACAAATCACTTTACCTCAAAGCCAATTATATACCGGGAGTACAAAACAATTGGGCAGATGCGCTGTCCCGTCTCCGGCCAGTATCGACAGAAACAGAATGGTCCCTAAAGATATCGGAGTTCAAGAGTCTAGTGAAGACGTTTGGAACTCCACAGTTAGATCTGTTTGCCTCCCTAAAAAATCACAAGATGCAGCTTATGCATCTCTGGAGGGGTCGAATCTTTTAGGAAATGCCCTACTCTTAGATCGGAACCTTTGGAATTCAATCTATCTGTTCCCACCTGTGAAAATATTGCCCAAAGTGGTTCACAAATGCAGATACTTCTGAGGCAAAGTCCTCTTAATTGCACCATATTGGATCCTACAACCTTGGTGCCTGGATCTACTGGACTGGTGCCTGAATCCTCTACAATTGCAACAAGGATGTCTAGACCAGGTGCTACATTCTCAGTTCGAGATATCCTTGGCACTTCACGCTTGGAGTTTCTCAAAAAAAGTTTAAATAGGTTGCTGGGTAATTCCAATATAGCTAATCAAGTATTAGCAGGTCATAGACCCCAAACTTCTATTCACTATGAGAAAGCTTGGAATCTTTTTCAACAATTTATCAAGTTAACAACTCCAGATTCATTATCGGAAATAGTTGTATTAGAATTTTTAGAATTTCTGTTCAGAGTTAAAGGCCTTCAAGGATCGACAATTGCATCTTATAAATCAGCATTGGTTGACCCTCTGGCTTGGGGTTTTAATATTACTTTGAACCCAAGGATCTATCAAATGTTAAGATCATCCTTTTTCATTCAGAGACCTCCTTGCCCCAGGAGAATCCCACCTTGGTCTCTCGAAAAAGTTACTAAACTTCTTATAGGGCCTAATTACAATATAAATCTGAACAGGGATAAATTACTCCAGAAGGCAGCCTTCCTTCTAGCAATAGCAACAGGTATGAGAATCAGTGAACTGATTTAAATTTCCAATAATCCATCATTATTGGTATTTTCTGAGGAGGATGTTATCCTTTTTCCTACGGAGATCCTAAGAAAAAATGAGAGGGAAGATTTCCAAGCTCAACCTTTTAGGATAAAACGTCTAATGGATGAGACAAGGGTTCCTCACATATTGTGTCCAGTTAAAAATCTTCAGGAATGGTTAACGAGATTCCCTATTCGAGGCCCCTATGTTTTCTCATCAAGGGATGGTAAGAAATTATCTCCTAGTCAAATGACAAAATCCTTATCTCAATTAGTGAATCAAGCAGACCCTGGTAAGAAATTTTTGGCACATGACACTAGGAAATATGCAGGGTCTGTGGCCTTTCTGTGGCATAAGAGTCTCAGTCAGATCAAGGAAATTGGCTTTTGGAGATCTTCAAAACTTTCAAAGACACCTATCTTCATCTATCTCTGAGAGATGCTTCAAATGTGGTGGTGCTGGGTTCCCCTCCCCCACCTAGTCAATGTCCACAACCAGACCTTCTTCCTCATTAGAATAAAGTGAGTACTGTACTGTATCCTTTTTGAGTAAATTAACATTTTACCTTCCAGTACATTTTCCTAATTTTGGACATATTCTAAACGGTTTATAACATAATCTGGACCTAAGTCAGCGGAGCCTTGTATGCAAAGTCACCTCCTGCTCGGGTATTCTTGCTGAGCGTCGCACTCCGACTTGAACAAAAAGTGTTTTTTTTTTTCTAAAAACCAGTTTTTGTGATATAGCTCGGAATGCGACGCCGATAACCCACCCATCTCCACCCCTCGAGAGTTAACTTTTTTTTACTGCTCGCTCTGAGGCAAGAGATGAAGGTCGTGATGCGTATGTTGGGGGGTGAAGGAGGGGGTTTTGAGAATTGCAATTAAATGCCATGTAGCGACGTGTCCTCCTAATATTACTTATTAAGTGGTTATTAGATGGTTTAATTACCTGTATGTTGGCATGGTGAGTTAGCTAGGAATTAACATACCTAAGTAACATGCTGAGCGTTACATTCTGAGCTATATCACAAAAACTTTTTTTTTTCTTTTTTTTCTTTTTTTTTTATGGGGATTAGCCCACCCAGGCACAGGTCACTGACCCACATCGGGACCTAGGGGCGAAAATTTAGTAGTAGTAATAATAATAATAATAATAATAATAATAATAATAATAATAATAATAATAATAATAATTATAATTATAATACAGTAGTACCCCGCGGTCAATAAAACCCACAGGGTACCGTGTTAAGTGAAAACCGTGCTAAGTGAACAACAGAACATATGGGATTAATTCCAATAGAAACTGGCCCGATCCCCAAACTCCACTTTTTCCGACACAATACCTATGTTCTAGTAAAAATAACATCTTAATTTTATGATGGTACACGCACACAATTAATACTTAAGAGAAATAGAGAAATACAGTCGCCAAGTTAATGTCCATTCAAATAATGGACTCAACTCCCTCCCCCTCTTCTCACACTACACTGCTGGCTCTTCCCTCTCTGAGAAATTTTTGGGGGAAACCACTAAATTTTAATAAATAATACCTCAAACTAAAGTTAGGATAATACAATTGACATTGCTGGATTCCTTGTAAGACCAGGAATATTTTGAATATAAATGTCATATATTTTGCACAAAAGATAACATATTTACTCAGAGTAAACATTATATCTAAAATTTGTATGTCTAATGCAAAATCTATGATGTTTATATTCAAAATGATCACCAAATTGTAAGAATTCCAGCAATGTAAATTATATTCTGGCTGGGTAATTTGTATGAATTTTATGAGCTAAAACAAATATCTTCAGTTAATAAAAAAAGAAATATTCTTCACGACACTATCTGTCAATCAAAGTACCCCACCTTGCCTCCCCCCCTCTTCCAACCGCCGGTCTGTCCCAACCCTCCCCCCACCCCCCACCAATCCTCCCTTCAAGAGATGTTGGGTGAAAAAACTAAATTTTAACATTTAGTATTAAATAATACCTCAGATTAAAGTTAGGATAATATGATTGACATTGCTGGATTCCTTGTAAGACCAGGAATATTTTGAATACAAATGTCATATATTTTGCACAAAAGATAACATATTTACTCAGAGTAAACATTACATCTAAAATTTGTATGTCTAATGCAAAATCTATGATGTTTATATTCAAAATGATCATCAAATTATAAGAATTCCAGCAATGTAAATTATATTCTGACCAGGTAATTTGTTTGAATTTTATGAGCTAAAACAAATATCTTCAGTTAATAAAAACAAAAAATATTCTTCACACGGTAACAGATGGTCGGTCGGTCCCTCCCTCCCCCCACCCCCCACCAACCGTCCCTACCAGATGAGTGGGAAAACCAGAATATTTACCTTTTTAGTAAGAAATAATACCTCAAACTAAAGTTAGGATAATATAATTGACATTGCTGGATTCCTTGTAAGCCCAGGAATATTTTGAATACAAATTTCATATATTTTGCACAAAAAATAACATATTTACTCAGAGTAAACATTTTATCTAAAATTTGTATGTCTAATGTAAAATCTATGATGTTTATATTCAAAATGATCATCATATTGTAAGAATTCCAGCAATGTAAATTATATTCTGGCCGGGTAATTTGTATGTATTTTATGAGCTAAAACAGGCAGTCAGGCATGGTGGCGGGTGGGGGGTGGGGCGAATCTAAAAATAGCTCCGAGCCGGACACTCACCGCGTATACGTGGAAAAAACCCGCGTTAAGTGAAAGTTCAGCTCTGGCAAGGCACCGCGTATACGGTAAAACGCGCTAAGCGAAACCTCGTTAAGCGGGGTAATACTGCAATAATAATAAAGAACCATAAAGAAATTCAAATTGAAAAAAAAATCAAGTGAGAAACAATATATGTATGTTGTGTTGTCAATAGTAAAAGAAACAATTGAGACCCTGCAATTGTGTGTAAATGAGGCAGAAAGTCAGATCAGCAACCTGGGACTTGGTCACAATTTTCGTGATGCCATATGGCAGCAAGATCTACCATAGACAACACATTATGCTTCCAATATCTTCCCAGGCTGTAGTTGGAGACGTGAAAAGGTTTGGGTGAAGCTGCTTTGGTCATCATTAGTAAAAGTTAGCTGTAGGTATGGCAGAAAGGCCATGTTCCTTGTGTTACACATTTGCACATATGGGGATTGGTTAGGGAATCCTTAGGCACCAGATAGAGATTATTAACATTACCTCCAGCCATACTATAATAGAAGATATTAATGTCCTATAAAATTCCATTGTAAAAACTGTATTCTTTTTCTTGGAAAGCAAATTACAAATAATTCACCAAGCAGGCAAATTAATATTAATGTTTTATTATGTACAGACAAGAGTATTAGTGACCCATGCAGTGTGGCTGCTGCCACAAGTGGACTTTTTGGTGGTGATACGTGATGGACAGATAGTGGAGAAGGGCACTTGGACACAGTTACTGGAGGGTGAAGGAGACTTTGCTCACTTCCTTATTCAACACATCACTAGAGAAAATGATGATGAGGAGGACGGAAATGGTAGGTGTCCGACATTATCTAGTACAGTAGAAACTTGTTGGAAGTGAACTTGTGGGGAAAATTTCAGTTTGCACTAATATTACATTGTTGTTGTTTATTCATCCAATGTTGACATTGTTGATATGTATATTTATTCACTCTGGCACTTTTAGATTAAGACTAAATCAGATACATAGTATATAGTAAAGTATAAGTCATCCAAAAATCTATTTTGTGTAATATATGAGCATTATAAATATGAAATCTAAGAGGATAGAATGATTTCTTTTTATTTACTTATTTTCCACATAGAGTATTATAAAAGAGTAAATAAAGAGAAATTGGTAAATTGGGCAATTGGCTGAGTAACTGTGTGAATGAAGAGTCAACTTTTCTTCATGTAACATGGAGGAGTAAATTATGAAGTAATTATAGGAGCTTAATGATGCATTGAAAGGTTATTTGTAGGACTAACATATGAGAATCACCAGCATCAATGTTTTATGACCATTATTCCATGTTTGTGTTGGTTAGCTGCAGTTACATGATGGCAGCACTTCATGCTGTATGGTCTCTTGTAGTCTCTCTTGTGAGTTTCCTAACTCTAATGCCATTTCTTACAACCTCTTACCCTGTCATTCCTGGCCTACCCCTGGCACTCCTCCCTTCCACATTTAGACTTGTGCACCTCTTGACCCAATTAGTCTCATCCAAACCATTTCATCGAGCCTCTATGCAGGATTCACCAATAGTACTACTCTCAATACCCAGTCACCCTCTTAGCTCTGAACCGGGTCTCCTTTCTTTATGTGTTATATTACACATCCATCTCACCATTCTCGTTTCAGCTCGCCCAAGCCTACTTTTGTCATCCTTTTTAATTGCCCAGGTTTTACTGCCCTACAACATCACACTTCTCTCACCAGCCACATACATTCTTCCATCCATGTAAAGGAAAGGCCCTCTTGCCATGAATAAAAACAGCAGCTCCATAAATTTCCTCCAACCACTTCTGACTCTTCAACTGAGCAGACTTCAACATCCCCACTGGCACAGAACATTTCACCCAGGTAACAGAACTCATGAATACAGTCCATGGACATATCCTCAATATGTTATAGAGCAATGAAGTATGTTAGTGTACAAGTATTTTCAAAAACTAATAATACAATTAAAATGACAGAAGTGCAGTACTCTGGTTATTACAGTACATGCTTTCCTTACACACCTATTTATGATAATGCAGTATCCACTTTCCATAATTGTCCATTTTACAGATGCTTTTTCATCCCAAACTTTTTGCCTGAGAGATCCTTTATTGTACTACTGTATTATATATTATTGATTGGTACTCACTTTTACACCAAGAATGGTTTATTTACCTACCTTATTTAACTATTGGCCATCCACTAGAAGTGGCCATGCCGAAGGAAGGAAACCAGTTACCTGTGTCGGCTCCCTCCATTGGTTTCTATAATTTTGTCAAGGGCTATTTTGAAGCCTAGCACTGTTCTTGATTCCACAGCTTGGGCTGGTACACCATTCCAAAGATCTACCATCCTCTGTGTGAAAAAGTATTTTCTTATGCTGTACCCTGTATTCATTTTGCATGATAACTAGGCGAGCGTGTAATTATATACTCATAAGAACATAAGAATGGAGGAAACTGCAGCGGACCTATTGGCCCATACAGGGCAGTGCCGTGTACACCCAACCCTTATCGCACGCATATCCATCCAACCTATGTTTGAAGCTGTCCAGCATATTCAAGTTAATGATGATATTTGGTAACTTGTTCCACTCATCCACTACTCTATTTCCAAACCAATGTTTACCTATTTTGTGCCTAAATCTAAATTTGTTTAATTTAAAACCATTGCTATGAGTTCACTCCTGGTTGGATAGTTTGAGTACCTTTGTTATATCACCTTAGTTTAGCCCTGACTTCCATTTATACACCTCGATCATATCGCCCTTCACTCTACGTCTCTTGAGGGAGAGCAAATTATGATGCTTTAACCTGTCCCTGTACTCAAGGTTCCTAATGCCTGGGATTAGTCTTGCCATTCTCCTCTGAATTCTTTCTAGGGATTCTATATCCATTTTGTAGTACGGTGACCAGAACTGAACTGCGTAATCCAAGTGAGGTCTCACAAGTGCTAGATATAGTTTTATGATAACCTCACCAGTCTTGTAACTAACACTCCATTGTATGAACCCAAGTACTTTGTAAGCCTTTCTTTTTTTTTTTACTGCGCTCCCCCCTACATCCTTGTGTAAGGTGAAGCGCAAAAGCGTTTACAGCGCCCAACAGGGAATGCTAAGTTCATGCTTGCCTTTATGTCTCATGAGTTAAGGGCGTAGAAGCTTGAAGAGTCAAGGGCGTAGAAGCTTGAAGAGTCAATGGTTTATGTCATCAAGTTATTGGAAGCTCCAACAACTCCCTGAATACGAATTTGCAACTTTTCGACTTACAACAGGTACCTACTTTACTGCTAGGTGAACAGGGACAAATGGGGGCTAGGAAGTACAGTCGGCCCTTAACATACGCGGGTTTAGCATACACGGATTTGCAAATACGCTGATTGCCCCGCCGGAGGAATATTCTGTTCATTGAAGTAATTGAAGTACATTCAAATCGCGCGCCATTCAACCCGCGCGCGGCACCGAACACAGGACACAGCCTGCTCCCGCAACCTCACACACACACGCATAGCTCTCCCTCACTCAGTCAGTCTCGCTGTAACCACGCTTGTGTTGACATCAGCATTGTAATTGCAAAAATATTACATTTACGTGAATGTATTATATCAAGCACAGTATGAATAGAATATCACTAGTTCAACAGTATTTTAACCGAAAACTATTAAAAAAATGAGTAACGTATCTTGAACATCGGAAGGTTAGGTAAAGTCTTTTGTTTTCATGTAGTTTATCCTAATTTACATTGAAATACATTACGTTTCAGCAAAACTACTATTTATTTCTGAGAATATGGAAATGTAATATTTTTGCTGAAATGACGTACGTATTACAGTGGAAAGTGATGAAAGCAATGACTTTCGCTTTCTTTCGTTCAAAAGATGTTACCGTAATCGCTTTTCAAATGGTTTTCAGTTAAAAAACTTTTGTATTACAATAATATTCAATCCTAATTCACTTGTGATGCAACAGTTTTTTTAACTGAAAATCATTCGAAAAGCGATTACGGTAACATCTTTTGAACGAAAGAAAGCAAGTCATTGTTTTTGTCACGATTTTATCCCACTTTCCACTGGAATACGTACATCATTTCAGCAAAATATTACATTTCCGTGAATGCATTATATCAAGCACAGTATGAATAGAATATCATTGTCATATAACAGTATTTTAACCGAAAACTATTATAAAAACGAGTAACATCTCTTGAACATCGGAAGGTTAGGTAAAGTCTTTTGTTTTCGTCATGTAATTTTATCCTATTTTACATTGAAATACATCACGTTTCAGCAAAACTACTATTTATTTCTGAGAATATATTCATTCGGGCGGGGTTTAGGTAAAATATACATGTGATGTAACATTTTTTTAACTGAAAATGATTCGAAAAATACGTACCCTCTAGCCCTGTTCAAGGAGAAGACTGGGAGGAGCTGTTTGGTGTTGAAGACGATGACAAGGAAAATGATTTTGATGGATTTTAATGAAAATTTTCAGAAATATGGTATCGTAGTATTTATTCAAGTGAATTAGGATAGAATATTATTGTAATACAACAGTAGTGACGATGTGGAGGAGGCGGAGGGATAGAGCGGGGAGGAGGTGACTGGCGGGAGCAGGGACGAGTTGAGATGCCAGCCAGTACATTACGGGTGTATTAATTGTTTTTATAGCTATTTTTGCATTTTAATATTAAATACGGTACATTACGTTTCAACAAAACTACCATTTATTTCTGAGAACATGGATATGTAATATTTTTGCTGAAATGATGTACGTATTACAGTGGAAAGTGGGATAAAATTGTGACGAAAGCAATGACTTTCTCTTTCTTTCGTTCAAAAGATGTTACCGTAATCGCTTTTCAAATGGTTTTCAGTTGTGGGATTATAAGGCTAATGATAGGATAGAATATTACTGTAATACAGTACGAGTACAACAGTTTTTTAACTGAAAAACATTCAAAAAGCGATTACGGTAAAATCTTTTGAACAACGAAAGAAAGCGAAAGTTATTGTTTTCGTCATGATTTTATCCCACTTTCCACTGTAATATGTACGTCATTCCAGCAAAAATATTACATTTCCATATTTATTTCCGAGAATATATTCATTCAGTCACAGTTAAGGGAAAATATACTTGTGATGTAATATTTTAATGAAAATACGGTATCGTAGTTTTCTTTTGTTTCAAATTTAATTAACAAAGATTGACGTTTCAAATGTAATGAACAAAAATTTATGTACAGTATCTATAAATACACTTTAATAAATGAATACTTTATGTTTTACATCGTCCTGTGCTACCATACCATGGATTTGGCTACTTTGGGGTTGCTATGATGACGCAAGAGATCTGCCCTGGCGACTGTACCGACACTCACAGCTGGTGGTGCGTTGGTGCATCGTTTCCATTGTTTACTGGTAGTTACTGGTAAATATTTTTCAACCTAACGAAACTATTACCCGTTTAGAGGTCAACCCCCAATTTTTTGCCAAATAATTTGGTCTTAAAAACTCGAACTACACACAGGTATATACGGTAAATAAAGACTTGGGGGGGCCAGGTTTTTTTTTGGGGGGGGGGGGGGCAGCAAAAATACGCGGATTTTTAACATTCACCGGTATCTCTGTTACGTAACCCCTGCGTATGTTAAGGGCCGACTGTATGTTCAAACAACTTCCACCTGCCCGGGAATCGAACCCGTGACATATTGCTTGCGAGGCAAGAGCGATACCGCTTCTACCACCGGCCCCCCAGTCTTGTTTTGAGCAAATACACTCTTGTGTTGGTGGAGCGTGATATCATACAAAAAAATGTCCCGGATTTACATTTTTCATCCCTTTTAGGAATCTTAATGTTTCAGTGTGATCTGCCTTATTTTCCCTTGTCTGAAGGGTTGTTATTCCTAAGGCTCTCAGATGGGCAAGGGGTGACCTAATTGAGGTGTATAAGTATCTCAGGGGCACTACTCAGTCGAGTGTCCTTATTTGGAGCTGGCGGACGCTCGCCCCACAAGGGGTCACAGTTCAAGATTGAAGAAGCTGCAAGTACAGAAAACTGTGAGGGCAAACTTTTTCAGAGTGAGAGTTGTGAACTCTTGGAACAATCTACCAGAAAGTGTTGTGACGGCACCGAGTGTGAGCTCTTTCAATACCAGACTTGACCAACACTGGAGTGGGTTCAGGTACATTCAGGAGCCGGTTGATGCCCTTATTTGCCAACAGTGCGTAACAGAGACGTGACCGATCGCCCAAGTGGCTAACTAGCCGATCAGTGGTGAATAGGATAAAAGTAAAAAGTAAAAGTTGTGTTGCACCTTCTTTTGGAATGTTAGATATTTCTGAAGGTTGGGTTTCCATGCCTGTATACAGTAATCCAGACAGGGATTTGGTGGACCTAAGGCTTGTACATTTGAAGGAGCATTTTCCAATCTTTGCGTTCAGAGGTATGTTTTATAATTCCCAAATCTCGATTTGGTTCTCTCACTGCTGCCCAACTTGTTGCACTGCCTTCAGTGAATGACCTTTCTCCTCATTGACTGTATCCAGGAAAGTGTTATTAACAGACTAGTTGTATCCTACGTGTATGGTCATGCATTTTGTAATGTTAAAAGCATTTGCCAGTCTCTAGATCATTTGAACAGCTCAAGCAAGTCTTTCTACATGTTGCACATCATCTTTTCTTGCTACCTTCCCAAATATCTTCATGTCATCCGTAAACTTGACAATGCAGCCCAATATATTTTCATCTATGTCATTTATGTAGATCACAAACAGGGTGGGTCCAGGGATAGATCCAAGTGGTACTCCACTGAGAACCTTTTTCCATTTAGAATGTACTCCATATATTACCACTCTTTGTTACCAGTCTTTGAGCCAGTTGTTAAGCCTCATCATAATCTTGTCTGGTTCTTAGAGGAGTGGTAGGTAGTAGGCAGCTATCAAACAGGGAAATTTCGCGTGGGAAGATATTGGAAGCATAATCAGCCATATGCTAGACCATTTAGCTTGTGATCTCTCTATGGGATTGCCCTTGTTTTCCTTCCAAGAAGCCTAGTAAATTCTCAGAGTGTGAGCAATGCTCACGGATATTACTGGAATTATCGTGAGAAGGGGGTGGGCGCCCTAAGCAAGCCCTAAGGATCAATTACTGTTGACTATTAACATAATTGCAATTACAAATATGTTGCAATGTTTCTAGTATAGTTGGAATAAATAATTATCATACGTAGTGATATCTCCGTTAGCCGGAATAATTGGTGCAGAGCACTTCCAGGAATGAGAGATTTACGGGTAACGAAATGACTCTCTCAAAGCCAGAAAAAATCCCTCATCCTCGGAATTTTCCGGGTAACGGATAAATGTTCTCAGAAGTTCCAGAAGTTGCCCATTACATCATCTCTCAAACCCAGAAAAAACTCACCCATCCCCGGAATTTTTCGGGTACCGGGAAATTTTTTTTAATTTTCTAGAAAATGTGCCCCTCGGAAAATCATTTCCAAAGCTGGAATTTTCAGGTGGAGAGCTGCTCAACATGAGAAGGGTATTTGACAAAGAAATTTCTTGATATAAACTCAGGCAAGTACTGCTATACAGTAGGCTCTCGCCAATAACGACTTCCACAATAAAGTTTTTGACAATAACGGTAAGTTACAATAGATACCTATTTTCGATAATAACGTCTGGATTCTCTTGAATAACGCAAATTTCGCGGGAAGCGTCTGAGCGCATCAATGATAGCGTTTGTTTGCCGCCATGTTGATGACGTAGTTGTCCACTCCGCCTCACTCTCACTCTCACACACGCTCAGTGGAATACAGCGCTGCGCCCACATGTGAGATTTTCGCCACTATAACCAGTGGTTGTTAGGGTCGGTGATCAATAATGGCTTCTGCATTTTTGCCTGTGGGGGCTAGGGGAGGTGGTGGAGGGAGTGATTTGCCACCTGAATGACAGGGAACTTTTAAAGTGAGGAACTTGAACTGTCCTGAGTCTACAGGGCGAAATATTAAGAGGAACTTAGAGGAGACCAAGAAGAGTATTGTGCTGGCTAAAAATATTTCGGTAGTGATGGAAATGCGAGGCGAGCTATGAATGATAAAGGCGATAGAAACAGGTTGTTAGTGATAACACAGCATTTTCTTGTGAAATGGTTAGCCTGTAGAATGAAAGACAGTGCAAGTGTTAGTGACCCTCAGATATGGAACAACCATCACACCAAGCACCTCAAAAACTCCCCCAAGCTAAGTGTTATATTACTCAAACTCTTTATTTTGATGATTGAATAACAATTCTTTTTATTTCAGCTAACAAAAGTGTTAGGAGGGCTTCAAGGGGAAAAAATGGGTGAAATTCTTGTGGCGGCGGCACCAATAAACCCTTTTTACATGTATTTTAATGTCACACAAATAACGTTTTCGCTAATAACGGTGTTTTTCAGGCACCTATTAAACGTTATTGGTGAGAGCCTACTGTATATTGATCTCATGAAAATTAGTACCCCCAGCTTATTTCACCTATTAATTATTTAATACTCTGATATTTCCTGGGAGGGTTAGGCTAGATTAGAATAGGTTGGCCTAGAGTGGTGAATCTTTGTGAAATAAGCTAGGGTGCTAATCTTCATGTGATCTCAGTATAGTACCATAACCTGTTTTGACTTTAGCAGTATAGTTTTAGTGATATACTGGTGTCGTTTTTTGTTTCCCAGAGCTGGACCAACTATGTGAACAACTGGAAAATACTCGTCATGGACAGGTCCTTATGAAACAACTGTCACACCAGAGCAACAGTTTTGAGTCTGGACGGTTGGTTATGAGTTACATTTTTTAAAGCATTACAGTAAGATATCTCAGTCGTTTTACCAGAACATTATAGAGAGCTTGCAGTACGTTTATAGTATACAGTGTGTGTGAAGATGGTTAGAGCCAAATTTGTGTTTATAAAATTAAGATAATTAAATACACAGGTTGGAGCCAACTGTAATGTGAATGGTGAAATTGATTTGTTATGTGGTGCTGAAAGATAGGAATCCCTGCTCAAAAGTAAGAGGGCAGCTGAATATTGAGAGTATTGGTGTGGTTTTGTTTAGAGGTAAGCTGAGATGGTTCAAGTATGTGGAGAGAATGAGATAAATGAATCTGGATGTGAAGAATGGGAGAGCCAAGTGTATATTGTAAGAAATGACCTCAGGATACGAACCTGACAGGAGAGGCTGCAATAGATCATACAGCATTGAGGGCTGCCATTAGGGCATCATGGCTGACCCACACAACTGTGGAAAATGATTGTAGAATATGATGATAAATTCTTTTTAAATCAGGTTCAAAACCTATTCACTGACTTACTGTATTTCCATTTCCGTTGGACAGAATTGGAGGTGTACGTAAATGTAACAGAGACAGCAGTTGTGGAAGTGACCAACAGCTGAGAGAGAGCAGTGGAGATGTCTTGTCTGTGACCTCAAATCAGCGTCAACAGTCTATTTCTTCATCTGGCGTTGGAAGTGTACACAAGAGGCAAAGAGGAGAATCAATATCCATGAAGGACCTAAAAGCAAGCAAGGATAATAATGTCAATGAAGGGAAAGCAGGAGAAATTCTGATTCAGGAGGAAGCAGTAGAGACTGGCAAGGTAATTAATATTTGCTTATATTTAATGGCTAACAGGTCCTGATAGAGGTATTCAGTATAAATATATACATAGAAAAATGGAAGAGTTGCCTGAGTTTTGATGTAGCTATGGATAGTTGTTGAGTTTGGGTTACACAAAAAACTTGCCTGGAGGTCTGCTCATGCCAACCATTATTGAAGGTGAAAGAGCCATTTTTTTTTCTAAAAACCAGTTCTTGTGATATACAGTAGTCCAGAATGCAACATCTAGCTTTATACTTAGGTATGTAAATGCCTAGCTTTAACTCGCCAAGCCAACATACAGGCAATTAAAACATCTAATGATTTCTTATATACGTAATATTAGGGGGACACGTCGCTATCTGGCATTTAATTGCAATTCTCAAAACCCCCTCCTGCACCCCCCATCACACGCATTGCCACCGTCATCTCTTGCCCTAGAGCGAGCAGTAAACAAATGTCAACTCTCGAGGGGTGGAGATTGGTGGGATGTCGACGTCGCATTCTGGACTCACAAAAACTGTTAAAAAATAAAAGGCTTTTTGTTCAATCCAGAATGCGACGTCTAGCTTTGATTACCCAAGCAGGAGGTGACATTGCATATAAGGCTCTGCTAGCTTAGGTCCAGATTATAATTATAAACTTTGGGGAATATTGTCCAATATTAATAACATTTACCGGAAGGTAAAATGTTAATTTACATATCCCAATTAGGATACTCACTTTATTCTGATGAGGAAGAAGAAGGTCCTGGTTGTGGAGATTATCTAGGTGGGGGAGGGGACCCCAGCACCATCACATGTGAAGCATCTTTCAGAGATAGATGAAGATAGCTGTTTTGAAAGGTTTTGAAGATTTCCAAAAGCCCACTTCTTTGATCTGACTGAGGCTCATATGCCGCAGAAAGACCACAGACCCTGCATATTTCCTGGTGTCATGTGCCAAATTTTTTTTGCCAGGGTCTGCTTGACTCACTAAGTGAGAAAAATATTTTGTCATTTGACTAGGAGACAATTTCTTACCATCTTGTGATGAGAATACACAGGGGCCTCGATTAGGGAATCTGGTTGACCATTCTTGAAGAATCTTAACTGGGTACAATATATGAGGAACCCTTGTCTCATTCATTAGCAGTTTTATCCTGATAGGTTGAGCTTGAAAATTCTCCCTTTCATTTTTTCTTAGAATCTCCGTAGGAAAAAGGGTGACATCTTCCTCAGAAAATACCAATAATGATGGATTATTGAAAATTGAAATCAGCTCACTGATTCTCATACCTGTTGCTATTGCTGCCTTCTGGAGCAATCTATCCCAGTTCAGATTTATATTGTAATAAGGCCCCTAAGAAATGTAGTAACTTTATCTAGAGACCAAGGTGGGATTCTCTTAGGCCTCTGAACGGAAAATTTAAAATTCTAACACCACTGTTTCCAACAATGTGATTGGAGTCGTTAACCTGATAAATTGTTGAAAAAGTTTCCAAGCTTTCTCATATTGCATAGAAGTTTGGGGTCTATGACCTGCTATCACTTGATTAACTACGTATATTGGAATTACCCAACAATCTATTTAAACATCCTTTCAGAAACTCCAAGCGTAAAGTGCCAAGAATATCTCGAAGTGAGGGTGCAGTACCTGGTCTAGACATCCTTGTTGTAATTGTAATGGATGCAGACACCATTCCAACATATCCACACACCACAGATATAGGATCCAATATGGTGCAATTAAGAGGGCCTTTCCCTGGAAGGATCTGAGTTTGTGAACCACTTTGGGCAACATTTTTACAGGTGGGAACAAATAGATTGAATTCCAACGGTTCCAATCTATGAGTAGAGCATTTCCTAAGAGAATTGATCATTCCAGAGATGCTTAAGTTGGCATCTTTTGATTAGACTCTTGAACTTCGATAGCTTTAGGGACCATTCTGTTTCCGTCGATACTGGCCTGAGGCGGGACAACACATCTGCCCAATTGTTTTGTACTCCCATTAGGTTTATGTGTTTGTCCCAAAGGGAGTTGCTCAACTTCCCTTGACGGAACTCTCCTTTTGAGGAATGGTATCCTCATCCTACCTCAAACACTTCCATACAAACGACCAAGTCTGTTTGAGGGGGAACCCAGGGAGATGAACCGATTTGATTGTCCAAATTTGTCCACCACGACAGATGATTCTTGACCTGAATAGGGAGAGAAGAAGCAATATTTTTGTTTCTGTGAAGCAACTTTGACCCCAGATGAGTTAGTTCCTTCTTCCTTAACGTGCCCAAAAGAACTACTGTGGTGGCAAAATTCAGCAGACCCAGCAGTTTTTCCCAATCATGCCAAGAAACCTCTTGCTTTAAACAAAAGGCTTGTACTTAGTTTATCACATCTGTTACCTTTGTTTCTGGTAGACTGACTTACTGCTTATTGGTGTCGCAATGGAGACCTAACTAATCCAATTTCTGACATGGTAGGAGATTTGATTTGACCTGGTTTATCTTTAATCCTAGGTTTTGAAATACTGCAGTACTAGTGTACGTTGGGTCGCCCTTTGACAGTCTTCGAAAGAGTTTCCCACTATCAGTTAATCGTCTAGATAAGCAAAAGTTCTTACACCCTCCTTTGCAAGGATCTCCCTGAGGATGTTCGCCAGTTTTGAAAACACTTTTGGCGCAATTATTAAGCTGAATGGCATTACTGTTAATTGATAACTTACATCCCCCACTGCGAACACTAGAAACTTTCTGTACCTGGGAGCAACAGGAACGTGATAATAGGCATCTTCGAGATCCACTTTTGAGATCCTCTTTTGAGATCCAAGCATTGGGTGGAAGTAGATGCTTCAGATGATCGTAGGTGAGCATCTTGAAACTTTTTTTTGGTAATAAACTTGTTCAGGACGGAAAGATCTAAAATTCACCTCAATTTGTAGCTGCCTTTCTTGGGGACTGGGAACTGGTGAGACATGAAACACTTCTCTTACTGCAACAGTTCTATCACACCTCTGTTGAAAAGTTGAATTACAAATTCTGTGAGTAAGGGGCTTGGTTTTTTACCCCTTTTTGGTAACACAAGGGGAGGGTACCTCAACCAAGTCGATGTGAGGTCCCCTTTGATTGTCTTGTAAGCCCATATGGAAGAAGTCCACCTGTTTTCCCAACCCCCTAGAAGACCCAGCTGTCTGGCTTCATTGGGGGGAGTGGTCGCTGATGTGGTGGAATAAGGTCTCCTTCCACTTCTGAACAAACGGCCACCCCTACTACGTCTTGGATTGTTTCCTCCTCTGAAGTTTCCTCTAGGTTGATAACTGAACCTACCAGCTGGTCCTGTTCCCATTACACCTTCCTCTTTTAAATTTCTGAAAGGTCTTAGGACTCCTGGGAATCGTAATATGAATAGCTTGCTCAACAGCTGATCTATACTTAACTAATACTTATTTCTCAAACAAAGCAGAAGAAAGAGGGAAATAGCATAGCAATAAATAAGTACTACCACTTTAAGCATTATTAGTGGCTTGCTTCCTTAGCTGGGTTTTTAGTTTTAGGGTTTTCAACAACATTTCCATAGATGAGTTGTACAGGGACTATAGAATACCTTGTATAGCAGCAGCAAAACATCTGTCTACTTCTGAACTGTCCTCATAGTCCAGTACAAACCAAGTCAATAGCTGAAACATCATGACTGCAGACCAAATGTCTGATGCCAACTTTCTAAATTTGAACTCTTCAAGCAACAGTGCGGAAGCAACTGAGTTTCAAATTTATTTCATAGCTTATGTCAGCATATTTTGGAGCCGACAAATACCTGGAAAGTTCATATAAGGAACTATTTTTGTCATTGCATTGGAACTTCAAAAAACTAAACTTGTGAGCATTCCTATCTGAGGGAATGAATGTTAAGTCTTTCAATATATTAGCCCAGACTTAATCTATTTCAGAGATCATTTTTGAACAAATATCAGGCCAAGAAATTGTAGTATCGCCTTCTAAAAACAATGAATGATGACCCACAGTTGCTTGGCCTTCCTGTCTCTTTGTGAGTGCTGATAGATCAGGAAGTTTAGAAACATTTTCATAAAATATCTTGAATAAGGAATCCACAGACTCGGATGTGGTTGAAAACAAAGAAGACTTAGATCTTACCAATGTTACCCAAGGCCTGTTTGGATCATCCTTACACCTAATGTTATCCATCAGGTGCGTGGCAGTCGACAGCAGCCTGTTTCCACTCATAGTAACCAACACTTTTGCCCCAGGTGGAAGTGGTTGCCAAAATGGGGACAGGATGAAGCCAGTCTCAACAGGTTCTCCCTGCTCTAGTGACTGAACACTATTAGTGTCAACTTCCTCATCCTGATTCAGGAATTCAGTAAAATCAGGCTGACTAGATAGAGGTTCTTGCAACCTTCCTACTGCCTCATTATCTTAAATATCCAACAATCTACTTTTCTTAGCAAAAGCAGGTTGGTCTAACTGGGGGTTAAGTCTCTTACTTATCACCCATAATTCTAAGCTTTCTGCCAACTTGGGATCTTTCCAGTGTTTTACATTTAGAATTTTACTCTTTAAGGCCTTATTCCATCTATTTTTAATTTGGATCTTTGATAATTCCTTATAATCTTCTGCAGCTTGATTAATTTAAAAAATATGATCATAACAAACTGCACACTCCAATGGTGAAAACAGGTTGTCTGAGACACAGCTGCTATGAATTATGCAAGCCAATTGAGGATCCAACTTGGTAATCCAAGTGGCTCTGCATCCTTGATAATTACATGTAGTATGGTCCCCTTGGGTCCTGGGTGAAACTACTACTACTGAATTCACATCTTTGTGTGTAGTGTATGAGCTGAGCTCTCCAGTCCTTGCAGCTCCTCACTCAACACTAGTTTCCCCAGGGACCGTTCCATGGTCTCCTCTCAGTCCAGACAACTGTCCTTCATCCTCCAGTTGCACATCACTTATCTAAACTAGGAGAAACACAATGAGTCACATTGTATCATCATAATAATACAAG